TTTTTAAATCATGCTTCATTCTCCAAAATTTCATATGATTTCTCATTGTTTTAGTTTTATACTCTTTTGTCTTAAAATGGCATATGCAAATTAGTTGAGGTGTCCATCATGCTTTGCAACTCTGAAGACTTTTTAACAGTCTTCTCTTTAGTACTCTTGAAGCTGATTCCTTAAACGCCTATTTCTCTAGTTTTTGTTTTAGTTTTTTGTTTTTTAGTGAGGCAATTGGGGTTAAGTGACTTGCCCAGAGTCACACAGCTAGGAAGTATTATGCGTCTGAGTTCAGATTTGAACTCAGGTCCTCCTGACTTCAGGGCCAGTACTCTATCCACTCTCTAGTTTTAATAAAAACATTTTTTTTTATAACATGAAACTGTTCTCACGTAAGCAAGATATCACTCCATAGACTTGATAATGGGATATGAGTCCTCACATCTACACCACAGATGATTTTCTCTTTGAAACTGTCCAAATCCCATCTGACAGTTATGTTTCTTCATACATATATATTAACAGTGTCTATTAAAACAAGGTTCTTTTACTACTTGTATTATATATCAAAATAATTATCTATAATGGTAGCAATACTATCCTTTGACAATTAATACAAATGTCTTTCTTTACACTTTTTCTGAGCCTTTCATCATCAAAATGCTCTATTTTATTTTTCTTTTCTTTTTTTCTTTTAGTTGTCAACATTCATTTTCATAAGATTTTGAGTTCCACCTTCTTTTCTCCCTCCTTCTTTCCCCCACTCCCTCCCCAACATGGCAAGCAATCTGATATAGGCTATACATGTACAATCCAATTAGGCATATTACTACATTAGTCATGTTGTGAAAGAAGAATCAGAACAAAAGGGAAAAACCACGAGAAAGGAAAAAAAAGGAGAAAATAATATGCTTCAATCTGCATTCAGACTCCGTAGTTCTTTCTCTGGACGAGGATAGCATTTTCCATCCCAAGTCTTTTGGAATTGTCTTAGATTCTTGCATTGCTGAGAAGAATGCTCCATTTAGCTTAAAGGAGAGTGTATTTTACATATTGATCATGATCCCAGTCACCCAGGTTCAAAATCTTAGTCATCTGTGTTTCCTCTCTCTCACCCAATCATTTGCCAAGTTTTGCTGATTCTACTTCTAAAATTCATTATATATGTATTATACATACATATGTGTGTATGTTTATATATATGTATGCATTCCTTTCTCTACACTCACAGGGGGAATCATAGTTCGCATTTTCATCACTTCTTGATTGCTGTAATCACTTTTTTTTAGGCAATTGGGGTGAAGTGACTTGCCCAGGGTCACGCAGCTAGTAAGTGTCAAGTGTTTGGTCTGAGGCTGGATTTGAACTCAGGTCTTTCTGACTTCAGGGCCAGTGCTCTATCCACTGTGCCACCTAGCTGTCCCTGTTGTAATCACTTTCCAATTGTTCCTTTTTAATGTGTCTATCACATAACTGCTAAAATAATTTTCCTAAGGCACAGGTGTTCAATATGTCATTTCCCTGCTAAAAATCCTTCAGCAGTTCCCTATTATTTCTAGAATAAAATACAAAATTTTTAGCCTGGCTTTTAAGATCCTATAAAATTTTCTACCTCTATGCTAAAGAGTGTCCCCAAAGTCTTAGTGTACTTTAAAGCATATTGTTATTATTATTATTGCTTAAACTTATACTAAGTCTGTTGGGACATCCTGTATTGCTCCTACCACAGCTGTCGTGAAGTCTGCGTTCCGGCCAAACTCAGCTGCTATCTGTTCGCAGAACTTTCCCAATACCTGGTGTATGCTCCCTCCTCATCTGTACTTTTCAGAATTCAGCCTTCTTTTTTATCACCACATCCCCTCAAGCGATCAAGCATCGCCTTCTAAATGTTCCCTAATTCTCCAACTTGAAAGTGTTCTCTCTGTCCTCAGATATTCCAAGAACACTCAGTCTGGATCTCCCCTTCTCCCCTGCCCCCATTACTATCACTATTCCTGCACACGGTGATCCCCAAACTCCATTACAATGCGAACACTTTCCAGGGAGCAGTCATTACTTAATTTTTGTCTTTGTATCTCTAGCACCTAGCAAAGTACTCTTGCATAGAGTAGGCGCTTCATAAATGCCTTTTGACTTGAATTGACTTGAACTGAGAGCTAATCATAACAGTTGACTACCGTTCTTTAGGGCAGCTAGGTGGCACAGTGAACAGAGTACTGGGCTTGGAATCAGGAAGACTCATCTTCCTGAGTTCAAATCTGCCCTTACTAGCTGTGTGACCCTGGACAAGTCACTTAACCATGTTTGCCTCAATTTCCTCATATGTAAAATGAGCTAGAGAAGGAAATGGCAAATCACTCCAGTATCTCGGCCAAGGAAACCCCAAATGGGTCACCAAGAGTTGGAAACGACTTAATAACTACATAGTTCTATACGGCAGTGTTTCTCAAAATATAGTCCAGGAATCCCTAGGGATTCCCCAGATCTTTTCAAGGGGTCCAGGAGGTAAAAGCCATTTTCATACTAATACTGACATTTTAATCTCCAACATGGTAAATATCAATAGATATAACCCACATAAACAAAAGCTTTTTTATTGGTTTGGGTACCTGATTCCATGAAGTACTGCAGCAGACCTGAGCTATTTCCTTCCTTCAAGTCAGTCTTTTCTTATTATGAATATTTCCCCTCAGTAAAGCTGGTTTTCATTACGTTCTCTCTGCTGACTCTGTGTTCTGTCTTATGATGCTCCATCTTTACTTGCAAATTCCAGACTTCACAAATACTACCTCAATCTTTTGCAGGTATTACTAGTAGTATTTCCATCTGAAAGCTGAGACTTCGAAAGGTTAAGCAGTTCATGGTCACAGAGCTAGAAAGTGTCAGAGGTGGGATGTGAACCTGGGTCTTTCTGACCCCAAGTTCCACACTCAGTTGGAAAGAGTGGTCAGAGCACAAAAAATCCCCAGACTAGGCTTTGGATGCTTTGTCACCAATGAAAGCATGCTTACTTAGTATTCTGTACATATCCCTTTAAAGTCAACCCTATTACCCCTGACAGAACAGGAGTAATAGATTCTTCCAGCTCTTTGCCCAGGCATAGGGTCCCTCACCCTGCCAACAACTGGCTAAAAATTAGACTCCTCTCTTTCTTACTTCTGATGTGTTAAGCAGTGAACCTATTCTGCACTCACTCTGTCCGAGGCAATGCAGGGGATACAGTCTCTGACTTAAAAGGAGTTATGATATAGTGGAAGAGGCAGGATATATAATTTTTAAAAAGTAACTAAAGACATAGAATAAAGACCAGTGAATGGTAAGTCAGTAACTGGGATCATGGGTGTGCTGAAGCTAGCTTGAACCTGCTTTGGAGCTGATGGTTAAATTTTCAGTGTCCACAATTTGCACCTCAGAAATCAGCAGTTGCTACAAATCATTTGTTTTATTGTTTTGTTGATTGCCTAGATTTAAGAAAATATGAATAATTCAGATTAAATTTAAAAGCATTTGTATATACATCCCCAACTTTCCCAGCCTAGTTGCTAAAAACTTTTTTTTAACATTCATATTAAGCATATTTTCACATCAGTCATGATGTAAAGAAGAATTAGAACCAATGGGAGAAACCACAAGAAAGAAGAAACAAAATAATAAAAGAAAAAAGCAGCAAATAGCGTGCTTCCATTTTCATTCAGACTCCATAGTTATTTCTCTGGACGTGGATAGCGTTTTCCATCATGAGACTTATGCAGATGTCTTAGATCCTTGCATTGCTTAGAAGAGCTAAGTCTATCAAACTTAGTCATCGTACAATGTGGCTGTTACTGTGTACAATGTTCTCCTGGTTCTGCTCACTTCACTCAGCATCAGTCCATACAAGTCTTTCCAGGTTTTTCTGAAGTCTGCCTGCTCATCACTTCTTATAGCACAATAGTACTCCATTACATTCATATACCACAGCCTTTTCAGCTGTTCCCCAATGGATGGGCATCCCCTCAATTTCCAATTCCTTGCCACCAGTTGTTAAACTTTTACCAGCATACCCCATACAATTCTATAAACATTGCTTGAGGAAGTGTGAATCCAGGTTTTTTCCCCTTAAGCAAAGGGTAAGTTCAATGAAATTTCTGTCTGGGGGGAGAGGGGATGGTTGAGCTGCGAGTGGGCACCATGTGAAGTTCTCTGCTGTTCTATTATATACACGGCTCAAGGAGATACCTTCCTTTCTTCCAGGGTGGAACCAACAGGGTTAACTATAAAGAAATTATTCTTGATGCGAGGAAAGTGTCTAGAAAAGATTAGTTATGCCTATGTTCCACAGTGTGGGACAGAGTGAGAGAGTAAGAATATAAATCCTTCCTCTCCTGCAATGACCCAGTAGGATATTTTCACTTTATATAAATAACCCCTAACAGAGATCTTGTTACAGTAGGTTTCAAATAGGTGGAAGGAGGAGTGGGGATGATAAATAGGATGAACAAAAGTGTTATTTAGTCATGTCTGACTCTCAGTGACCCCATTTGCAGTTTTCTTGGCAAAGAAACTGGAGTAGAAGTAGTTTTTCATTTCCTTCTCCAGCTTATTTTACAGATGAGGAAAATGAGGCAAACAGGGTTAAGTGATTCGCCCAGGGTCACACAGCTAGTAAGTGTCTGAGGCTGAACTTGAATTCATGAAGATGAGTCTTCCTGACTCTGGGCCTGGCACTCTATCCACTGAGCCACCTAGCTGTCCTAAAAGTATAGGGGTGGTAAATTGAAAAGTATTTTGGAGGGTACAATGGGTGGGTCAGTTTATTTGGGAGATAAAACTAGAAAAGTGGACTAGAAGGCGTTGAATGCCAGTGTTTGGACTTTATTTCATAGATCTGATTGGAAATGCTGAGGTTGTGATTCTTACTAACTGTTCATCTTTTTCTTTTCTCCCCTTCTTCCCTTCTCTGCCCTCATGGAACCTTTGCTCTTTGCCTGCTTCCTTCCCTTTCGGCCCAACCGTCTGCTGCTGCAAAGTGCTTCTCTGCTTCCCCTGTGCCCATGCTATCTGGGCGTGTGTCCGCACCTGTCCCACTGGCTGCACCTGCACTCGCGAGCGCAGCTGCTCCGTGCTGTGTGACAGGACGGGCCTCCTGCAGATCCCCAGCGAATTCCCCTGTGAAGCCTCCTTCATCAACCTGGACAAGAACGGCATCAAATTCCTGGCAGAGCGGGCCTTTGGGACCCTGCCCTCCCTCCGACACCTGTCTCTGAGTCACAACAATATTTCCTTTATCACTCCAGGGGCCTTCAAGGGGCTGCCTAACCTAGTAGAGCTAAGGATTGCCTATAACGAGGACATCCGCTACCTGCACACGAGGACTTTCGCTGCCCTCCGAAGCCTGGTCAGGCTGGACTTGGCAGGCTGCAACCTGTTCAGTATACCTGACCGCATCTTTGTGGACCTCCCTGCCCTGCGGGAGCTCTCCTGCTTCCAGAACCACTTCCGTAGGGTGCCTGGGGCCGTCAGGGGGATGGAGAACCTGACCCATCTCTATCTGGAGCGAAACTGGATCGAGGCCATCGCCTACAACTCGCTGCAGGGCCTGGGCCGCCTGCGCTCTCTGAGTCTGCAAGACAACAGGATCAGCGCGGTGCACGCGGGGGCGTTCCAGGACTGCCGCAAGATGGAGCACCTCTACCTGAACGACAACCTCCTCCGCGGCCTGCCGGGGAGCTCCTTTGAGGGCCTGGGCCACCTGAAGATGCTCAACCTGGGGGGCAACTCCCTGAGCCACGTGTCTAGGGCCTGGTTCCGTGACCTGGTGGAGTTGGAGGTGCTCTACCTGGACAGGAACAGGATACGGTACATTGAAGAAGGGGCCTTCGAGAACCTCACCAGCCTCGTGGCGCTGCATCTCAACAGCAACAACCTCACCTTGCTGCCCTTCTCCGTCTTCCAGCCGGTCTACTTCCTGGGCCGTCTGTACTTGTTTCGGAACCCTTGGCACTGCGACTGCCAGATGGAGTGGCTCAAGGAATGGATGGAGAGCTACGGTCTCGTCAGGGACGTCACCTGCACCTCCCCATCCTCTGTGGCTGGCGGAGACTTGAGCACTGTTGACTTTCACCGATCCCAGGAGGGCCTCTGCCTGGACCCCGAGGAACTGAACTTCACCACCCCCAGCGAGGCCCCTTCGGAGGGGCCTCCTTCGGCCACTGAGAGCAAGTTTAGCAGCCTCATCTCCAAGCTCCTGTCCCCGAGGGCTCCACCTGAGGAAGCGGCCAATGACACTGAGGCCCTGGTCAACAGCTCTCTGCTGGACAGCCTCTCCTCAGGCCTGGAAGGAAGGTGGGGAAACAAGGCCTTGTCATTTTGGGCCTCTCTTCACCTATTTCTCTGTGACATGGTGACAAGACTCAATGTGGAATGAGTTCACAAGGCATCGTGGGAAAGCAGATCATTAGGTCTTAGTCCTCAGGTTGGTTGGAAATTGGCTTCTGGTTGGCAGGGGATTGCTGGTATTGGGGCCAAGGCCATCCAACCAATTGCTGGAGAGAGTGAAATGCTGTTCTGCCCACCTTAACATAAATCCACAGCTGGAACAGACAAGCATAGAAGATGAACATACTTAGAGTTCTGTGTTTAGTGTTTAACATTTTACCTAGGGTGGTCTTTTGCATAGATGATATATATATTTGTTGTTTTTGTTGAGTTGTGTTTGACTCTTCATGACCATAGGCTGCCAGTGCTATCCGTGGGGTTTTCTTGGCAAACATACAGGAGTGGTCTGGCATTTCCTTCTTCAGGAGAGCAAGGCAATCAGAGGTTAAATGACTTGCCCAGAGTCACACAGCTAGTAAGTGTCTGAGGCCAGATTTGAGCTCAGGTCTTCCTGACTCTAGGCCCAGCGCTCTATCTGCTGCTACCTAACTGCCTCTTATGATAGATATAGATGGCAGATTGCCTATGAGGCATAGTTGGAAAGCTCCCAGAAAGTACCCCTCTCCCCATAAAATCTCCTTCACTCAACGGTTTTAGGGTCTGAAATTCCCACCATAGGGGATTTTTTTTTCTTTGGGGCTAAACATTGCCCTCTCTTGGCTTCTCTTTTGAAGAAAGCCTATACTCTTAGGAGAGGCAATACATTATATCCCTAACACTTCAGTATAAATTAGTTTGCTTTCCTTCCTAAAATGGGGAAGGAGGCTGGTGTGGTACCACAGTAGAACAGGGTGAAGGCAGGAGGAGGCATAGGTGCTGAAATGACTGGCTGGGGGAAGGCAGAAGAAGGATAATCGGGAGGGTATTGATGGTGAATACAAATTTGATTTACAGTTTGGTGTAGGCTGCAAAAGAACTGCCATGTAGACAGGGGATTCTTTAAGTGGGTCTTTTAAAAAAAATTTATTTAGTTTTAGTTTTCAACATTCATTTTTATAAGATTTTGAGTTCTAAATTCTTCCCTCTCCCCAAGATAGCATGCAATCTGATATAGGCTATACACGTACAATCACTTAGATGGGTCTTTTAATAAGAGGAGGGGGAATGTGGGCAAAGTCTGGTCCTTTGCACATTTTGATACCCACCAACTATAGAGAAGATGTTGCATCCCCAGCAGTGGGGAAATGGTAATTTAGAGAAACTTTCATTACATTGATATTTGACTATGAGAAGGAAGCCAGAGGGCTGCCCAGCAAGCCATCTCTACACTTGGCCCACCCTTTCGCCTAGGGCTATTAATGGCTTTTCCCCAAACTCTTCAACATCAATTTTCAGAAACAGAAAAATCCAGTAGTTGGAATGAGAATGGACAGAAGTGGGCTAATAATTCTAGGACCTTGTAACAGCACATCTTGTGGTTTTCAGTTTCATGTTTCAGCATAGGCTTTGGGAGAGGGAGGCTTTGGAAATAACATACTCAGGCTGAGCTACCATCCTTCCTCATTTCTTCTTTCCAAGCAGGAAGAGCAAAAACCTCCCTCTCCGTCACAGGCCACTCTCTACCCACATTCACTGCCCCATAACACTATCAGAGGCTCCTGAGCTAAATGTCCTTGTGTTCTGTTTATCCAGAGTAGAAAGAGGAGCCAGATCAGTTAATCAGTCAATCATTAAGCATTTATTAAGTGTCTACTAAGTGCCAGGCACTGTGCTAAATTCAGGGGATTAAAAAAAGAGTCAAAAAACTGTCCCTGCCCTCCAAGAAGTTGCAATCTAATGGATTATCAGGTGCCTGATATATGCTGACATGACCAACTAGTGCATAAGATACAATGATTTTGGATTTCTAGGATATTTAGAAATTAAGATTAAGTAATCTTCTTAATGCATTGAATTCTTCTTCATATAATGAAAAGCTGTTTTTCAAGGTCCAGCTTGGTTTTGTGTATTGCACAGCTACACAGTTGAGCTGAGGAAGGTCTGAAGGAAATAGTATTTCACCTAGCCAGTGGAAGTTTAGTACTAGAATTTTTAAAAAAGGGTTATTAATTGATCGTGCGTTTTTTAGTAGCTTGTTTTTGTACAGGTTATTAGTCAGCAAATTTTTAAAAAATCATGTTGCATAAAACTTAAATGCTGAAGGTTAATTTTATGTTTTCAATACATTTTTTCAAGTTGTATTTTTCATGTGCAAGAATCAATGGGGTCAGGTCAGAAAAACCGTCTATTATAACCATATACTATCGGAAGCTGTGGAAAGGAGGGGTTGAGTGATGGGGACCTGCTTTTTGCATCTTTGTAACCATGAAGTGCAGGAAAGAACCTCTCAGTTTAGGTTGCCAAGGAGCAGAATGTCACCTAGAGAAAAATGTTTTTCATTACTTCTGACCCGAGAGGGTTTACGGTATCAACTTTAATATGTTTTCTTGATACTGACTGGCTGGCTGGCTGCCTTGCTTTTTAGAGATACAATTTTTATACTGGAAGTTTTTGAATCAAAACCTAAAGATCCTCATGGGAGATTTTTTTTAATAAAGTTAAACAGAATTCCCGCAGAATTATGGGTAAAATGGGCCATATAACAACGAGTCACGAACAACCTGGAATGAGCTTTTAGAGAGCCTCAGCCATTATGAGCTTGAGCCTGGAGGAGGCGTTAATTTTTCAGGCCATTATGGTGCCACTTTGTACCCTGAGGAAGATAGAATACTAAAATGGCTCTTGTTCAGGGTCACTGTGTCTTCAAAATGTGTCATTTACTTTATCTGCTAGAATCAAACCTATAATTGTTAACAATGACAAGAACATTTAATAGAAGATTTGGAGAAGGAAAACTGGGGCAAAACCCATTACAAAATGCCCTCCTGAGGTCAAGTACTACCTCTTCCCATTTCCAGTACACTAGATTTCTCAAGAGAAAGAAAAGAAAACATGGAGAAAAAAGGTTCATATTTCATGTATTAAAAACAATTCACTTCCTACTCACTCCCACAGCCCCCCAGAGGGGAAGAGTCCGATTGGCATTTGTTTTCTTTCCTAGATTATTTTTAGAAAATCTAGTAATCTCAACGTAAGCAATGTCATAGTGATACAGTTTTGACTATATGTTTTAAACATATATTTTTAAAAAGAACAACAACAAAACAAAATGAGGCTTATCTTAGGATGGTGACAATCCAAGTCTTTGAGCCCTAGAAGCTGAGGGCTCCCATGCATCTACGCCACGTGTGAGAGTCTAAGCGTGTTTTAAAGGTGCTAGGTTGGGGAGAGGAGTAAATGCCATTTTAGTAGATTTGGGTCCCAGGCCAGACCAGTGCTTCAGATCTTACTTTTATTTGTGTTTTAGCTAGACAGAATCTTGAAGGACTCAGGGAAACATCTGTATAATCATTTGAAAGGAAGTTCTCTAAAATCTCATCTCACCCCTGAAAAGAAAGCACATTTCACTGATGACTCCGACAGGTATAGACAATCTATGTAATTGTCTTACAGCCAGACTAACTGAAATGGTAGCAGAGGCAGGTCAGAAGGACTAGATAACCTATGGAGGTCTTTTCTAAATTCTGTTTTTTGGGGCAGCTAAGTAGTGCAGTGGATGGAAGTACCCTCCCTGAAGTCAGGAGGACCTGAATTCAAATCCAGTCTTAGACACATAACACTTACTAGCTTCGTGATCCTGGGCAAGTCACTTAACTCCATCGCCTAGCAAAAAAAAAAAAAGAGCATTGGTCTGGATGGCCTCTGAGGTTCCTCTCAGATCAAAATCTATGATTCTGTGATCCCAGCTCTGATAATACAGGAGGTGCTTATTTGGCAGATTCACGTGGATTTCTTTGTAAAGGTTTGATTCCTTACTTATCTTCAGGGATTTAGGGGTTCAAGAGGAAAGTATAGGACCACCTTTAAAGAGACAGCTTTATTTAAACCCTTCTTATTAATATATGAGATCCAGAGAAGTGAGATTAAAAATTCAGAATATGAAAATGAATTATTTTGAGCATTAATCAAGACTTAATACTAATGTTAACATTGTCCTGAAAACTTATGAGTAAAAGTGGTATTTCCAGGGCACTAAATTATTGAGTGTTAAATTCCCGTGGAGACTTTGCAGAATCTTGCAAGTTGATAAATATTAATGTGAATAGCTTTGAACGACTCTCCTTGTGTCTTACATCCAAACCCATTATGAAAGTCTCCAAATGGAGTGGAAAACAACAGGAGAGATTCTTGAAGAAGTGGTGACAGTTTGCAATATATTTCTGCTGTGTCTCCTCTCAGTTGCTGTGTGTTTTGAGAAGGTTGCCGGCTAATTCACTTGGAGTCCAGATAAGGTAGTTCAATACCTAGCATGTAGCACCTTGGTCTGGGCAGGTATTTGGTAGTTTTTCAGTCATGTCTGACTTCATGACCCCAATTTTTTCTTGGCAAAGATACTGGAATGGTTTGCCATTTCCTTTGTCCGCTCATTTTACATTTGAGGAAACTGAGACAAACAGGATTATGTGACTTGCCCAGGTCACACAGCTAGTATGTGTGGATTTACAATCTATGTAACTGTCTTATGGCCAGACTAACTGAAATGGTGGCAGAGGCAGGTCAGAAGGACTGGATAACCTATGGAGGTCTTTTCCAAATTTTTTTTTTTTTAGATTCCATAAGTGTAAGCTCTGAAGCCCAAGACTAGCAATTTGTAAATTCTAATATGGAAGAGTAGAAAAACTTATTCCTGATTTGAACTGGATTTGAACTCATGAAGATGAGTCGTCTTGACTCCAGGCCTGGCACTCTGCGCTCTGGCACCACCTTGCCATCCCAGGCAGGGAAGGGGACACCCTGGCTTAGCTCTTGCTTCTTGAGGCTTGGTTCATAAAGTAACTGATGCTTTGAGTGTTCCTCACACTCTTTTACAGCACAATATTTCCCAGCACTCTCTCTCCACCCCACCAACCACTCAACTTTCCTTGTAACCACCAACACCAGTTCAGCAAAATCAGCTGAGAAACACACACGCTGCATATGCCAAATCCCACACCAGTAGTCCCCATATGTCCCTTGAGAGGAGGAAATCATATTTCTTTTCTTCTTTGTCTTCATTTATCTATCTATCTATCTATCTATCTATCTATCTATCTTATCTATCTATCTATCTATCTATCTATCTTTACTTTCCTTGATTTTACTTTTTTAAAAAAATTTTCTTTTTATTATTATGAACGCGACATACATATTTCCCTCTGCAAAAAAAGTATAAAAAGCCTGTGTATGAAACGCTGAATCTCCACTTGGCGTCTTTTCTGTATATTTCAAATTTTACATTGTAGTTCCAATATTGCCATGCATGCCTGTCTCTGTCCCCTTCTGAACTTCCTTACACTCCCTTCTGTTTATTCTTTTTTAAAAATGATTCATTGATGATGCTTGTTTCTTTCTTTCTTTTCTTTCTTAGTATCACTCTCACTATCCCACCCCCAAATAAAAGTCCTCCTCACTGCTGAGACTCCAGTGCTGACTTTTTTGGTGTGTTTTCTCCAATTTTTAGATCAGCAAAAAACAACATCTAGCGCTAAGAAAGCTTACCCCAGGGCTCTGAAAACTCTTCGTTTTCAAGATAGAGAGAGTTGAGGGGGTTTTGTTTAATGTGTTTTTGTTTTTGACTCCTGTCAATTAACATCCTAAACTTAGATTCTGCCTTCCATTTAAAAAGTTGTAGCTATTCAATAGTGTCAGATTATAGAGTCCTAGATACTATTTGTACTTTCTGATTTCATTGACATATGGCTGATGATCACTATGATTAATATAACAGATACAGTAGCTATAGTCTTGGGAAGTTGCAAAACCAAAAGTCAGTAATATGTTTTATGCCGTCCACTGAACAAGTTTTGTGCACCTCCATTTCCTTTTTTTGGGGAAAAAAGCGTAAACCACCTGCTTGGGTTGTTATGAGGAATAAATAACAATTAATTATAAACCACTTGGTAAGCACAATGCAGAATACCGCTTAGTGGCCTAAGAGAGGAAAGCGAAACTTCATTCAAGTGGACAGCACATGGAAAGAGTGCATTGTTGCCAGTATAGTTTTGTTAATTAAGAGAAAATATACAACGGAGCATATTTTCCTATAAGGCATTGATTTCCTAAGTGTCATTCCAACCAGGGTTAGAAGAGCAGGTCTGGCAAACTCCTGGAATGACAGGGTAATTAATTGTCAGGAATTCCAGGCCATTGCTGCTCCTTCCTTTGTCTCTGGTCTCAAACACTTGACACTTACTAGCTTTGTGACCCTAGGCAAGTCACTTAACCCCACTGCCTAGCCCCCCCCCAAAGGGTTAAAAAGAACGGTTGCCCCTTATGCTGTTTCAATCTTAACTGATCACTTTCCATTGTAGGCTCCCCCTATCCAAGTCTCCTGAAGAGGTGGTTGAAATAAAATTGTTATTGCATTATAACAACCACCAAAAAGCTCTAAAACAGAGCGAAAGCTATAACATACATCATTATGTCAATAACATTTAATAACACTGTTCCTATGGAACTAATTGTCCCTTCTAATGTTGTTTCACCTGCCCTGTTTTCCCAGAACCAGTTAATAGCATTCGACAGGGTATGCCTGTACACTTCTCAGTTCTTTTGTTCCTCCTCTCAGAATTTTAGATTGGGTAACATAATTTTGGAATGCAGAGAGCAAGCCCTCTGGAAGACGGAGCACGCACGAAGTGTCCAGTGACAGGCACCCTAGTCCCTGAGCACCTGGCCAAGGGACATTATGGTGGGATAAGGAAGTGGGGAGTGATAGTGGAGGGAGGAAACAGTGGGAAAAAAGGGGGTAGGTAAAGTAAGGGTGAAAACAATCTTACTCTTTTTCACAGTTTGCCTTAGGCTGGGCCTACTCTCAAGAAGCAGTTCCATGCTTTCCAGAGGTCACCTTTTGAGTGAAGCTATCTATGAAAGCTGGGAAATCAGTGCGTGTCCCATGACCTTGAAGAGGTAGGAAAAAGAGGGCAAGATTCTGGACCAAGACAGGAGGGATGGGCAAGAAAAGACATATTCTTTCTGCTAACATTATATACCTTCTTGGTCCTAAGGATAGGCTGCCCTTCTAAAATGAGATGTAAGGGAAGGGAAAGAGAAAGGCATAGTTTGAAAAACTTTAAATAAAACTTTACATGCATTTGTAGGTTCTTTCATGTTTTAATTGGAGAGACAACTTGACAGAACATAAACAACCCTGGAGTGTTCTCAAGGAACCAGAAAAACCAGGGTTTGGGTCCCAGAACCAACGAAAGTAGTGCTAACAGCTTTGGGGCCTTGTAGCCAAGAATGAGAGGCAGTCAAGGAAGAAATAAGGCATTCAGGGTCTAGATCACCATCTGTGATTAAAAAACCAAAATCAAACCCAAATTATTAATTTTGTGTAGTCACTATTTCCTCATCTCTGTAAAGGGCTATACAATTATTATTTTTTTAAGGCAATTGGGGTTAAGTGACTTGCCCAGGGTCACACAGCTAGTAAGTGTCAAGTATTTGTTCTGAGGTCAAATTTGAACTCAGGTCCTCCTGACTTCAGGGCCGGTGCTCTATCCACTGCACTACTTAGCTGCCCCAGGGCGATATAATTTCAACAAGACATACAGTGACAGGATCTCTTAAAATGGAAAATGGAACAGAAAAATTTGCTTAAAAAAGTCACATATTGTAATCTAGTCTTAAAACTTGGTCTCCTCCATGGCCTTTCTCATTCTTGGCCAAAGAAGCCCAGAGGTATTAGCTCTGCTTTCTTTGCCTTTTCCCCCTCCCCCCAGCTTGAGTATCCATAACTTGGGTATGGAGGGAATAATGCAGTCCTGAGAAAAGCTGTGTGAAGCTCAGTGGGTTGTCCTGTTCTGTCTAAAGCAGAAAGAGCAGGGGGCTGGCTGAACAGGCAGGTGGCCATGTGAGGGCTCCCTGAATGCCCTGCTGAGGTGGACAGGAGTGTGGAAGGCAGAAAAAGAGAACTCACCCATATTATTCTCTCATTTTCCATTAGGGGGATGCCCCTTTAGGCATGGAAAAATGCCCCATTAGGCAGGAAATGTCTGAAAGATGTGACTTTTGAGAAGGAGAACTGTTACCCCTTAACCCTGCCAACATGTTTGTTAACATCATAAAATAAATATCTACGTGCCACAGACAGGGGAATTTTCTGGGATTACGATAAATGTATTTATAAAGAGTAATATGAGAATGTACCCTCATTATACTCCCATGTGTTATGGTCTAGGTTAGGGCTTACTCCTTCTAAATTCTAACTGTAGCTTGTGGGGAAGAGAGAAAAAGAAACAAAGATGTGAGATAAAGATTTTCTGATTTCTTGGAAAAAGCAATGTAGATAGCCTGGAAAGTCTAAGAGTCCTTGCAGAGTGAAAGCCAGAGCTAGCCTGGAGAGTTCCTTGGGCTCCAGCAGGAAGGTCCATCATCACTTACCCTGTGACACTGGCTTTAGTATAGAAGTTGTGAGCATTTTAAGTTACAGTATTCTCCCTTGCTTTTCACATACAACATTTCCAAGGACGTGTGTGCCTTCTGACATGGTCGAATGGAACCAGACCATCCAAAGTGGCACTTGTAATTGGGAGGCAGTGTTGATATAGTGGATAGAGTGCTGAATTTGGAGGTGACTGGGATTCAAATAAATGGCCCTGCCACTTCCCATTTGTATGTCCTTGGGAATGTCGTTTACTCTACCCCTCTGGGTCTCTGTTTCCTCATCTGTAAAATGAAAGGGTTGAAGTAGATGACCCCTAAGATCCATTCCTGCTTTAAATTCACTGGCCAACTTGCGGTTTTGGTACTTTCAGTGGTATAAAAGAGCAGATGTGACCTGGCTCCAAGGGAGTTAATTTACCTAGTTTTTGGTCTTGTTCTGGGGCAGAGCTGCCCAGATTGGAAGGTGAGTTAATCCTCAGATGAATCCTCAATTATGTTTGGCCCCAACCCAGGTCTCATTAAACCTGGCCAGCCACTGGGACACCTGGCCTGGCCAGCTCACCACTCCCTGCTTTCTATTTCTTGCTTGGAGTCCAATCAATACTATCACTGCTGTGGGGAATAGTACAGCAACCTCCTGCCCTATGGCTCTAATCGCAGTTCCTGTAATTTCCCAGAACAAATTTTCCTTTCCTGGCCACCTCTCCCTGAAGTGGCATTGTATCTCCTAGGAGAAAAAAACCTCCATGAAGATAGGGACAGTGTCATTTCTGTATTTATATCCCTAGCTTCTAGTACAAGGCCTGGCACAAAGTACACCCTTAATAAATGCTTTATTGAGTGGTCTAGCACCACAGGAACGGCCAATGCTATATAATGAAAATCAATAACTATCGTGTACATATGACTTTAAGGTTGGCAATGAGGTTTACAAACATCTAATTTTATCCTCACAACCACCTTGGAAGGTGTGTGCTATTATTATTCCCATTTCACCAATGAGGAAACTGAGGCAGACAGCAGTTAAGTGACTTGCCCAGGGTGGTCATATAACTAGTATCTGAAGGGGATTTGAATCCAGGTCTTCTTCACTCTAGTTACAAGCAGGCATCACCATTATTTTTTTTTTTTAGGCAATTGGGGTTAAGTGACTTGCCCAGGGTCACACAGCTAGTAAGTGTCAAATGTTTGGTCTGAGGCTGGATTTGAACTCAGGTCTTCCTGATTCCAGGGCTGGTGCTCTATCTACTGTGCCACCTAGCTACCTCCATACAGGCATCCTTATTACTCTGCAAAGCTCAGGACAGGCAGTAGAAGTGGTGGTAGTCTCCTTAGAAAGCTAGAACACTAGAGATTAACCAATAGATCTGGAAATGTCTTTATGAAATACATATGCAGAATGGCCAGCAGTATTACATATCTGTGCTGACATTAATTGGAACTCATTTTTGGGTCCTATATCTGAATCAAACCAATTAATGGACCAATTACTGAGCACCTTAGTGTCGTCTCCTAGAACTTCCCTTCTCTTCTCCTCTTGTCTAGTACTGATTCTTTTGCATGACCAGCTCTGTAGGTATATTTGCTATACTTTATAGATACAGCATGGAGCTAAAATCTAGTGTACATTATGCTATATTAATAATAATTCTAAAATGCTGGTATCAGAATTTGCTCTTCTAGGGTTCATGGGACAGTACTTGGAATTCTTCAATCAAATCACTAAAGTGGGGCAAAATGAGAAAAAATGCAGAAACATAAAAGTTCATATTCATATTTTAACTTGCTAATAATGTTCAGCACATGTCCTTCATACCACAAGGTGCAGAAAACAAATCAGAGTAGTGGTTATATTTTTTTATTTTATGTGTATAAGCAAACTAATTGTGGTAGAACCAAAGCAACACACAAATGTTTTGGGAATTTCTTCTACAACCCGCAAAATTAAATTAGGAAAAAAAAATCCAAATACTTTGTGGCTGGATTTTGGACATAATTTGTGTACTATTTCCATATGTATGCATACATATTTGTATTGTTTTACATTGCTCTTCATACTGGTTCCTAAAATTAAGAGAACTAAAATAATTCAAGGAGCAAAAATATTATCCTTTCTTGAACATGATTCTCCAGGACTGTAATGAGGCAAAGATGTTAGGCTTGAGTGTGGTACAATGGAGAGTCTTGGGTTCATATCCTGATTCTTCCACTTACTGTGTGACTGAGGACATTTAATTTGTCTGGAACACAATTTCCTTACCTGTGAAGTGGAAAAAATACTCATTCTATTGTCTGACAGTATCTAACTGACAGATTATTGTGAAGATCAAGTGTGATAACACAGGTAAAATATTTTGGAAACTTTAAAGTATCTATTATTAGTACTACCTATCTTCATGGAGATGACATAAGAGAAAATATACCTTGTTTGTAAATTAAAATTTGTAAAATCTGTGCCTATTGCACATAAATTTTACAAATGGAAATGTATTAGGATCATAGCTTGATTATTTGGATGAGTCACATGGCGGATCTTTCTATAAAGTGAAGATGATGCCAGTAAAGCAAATAACCTCTACTTATTTCATTAGAGTGAGTCACAGTAGAACTCTCAGTGGGTTATTCTTGGTGATCTCTGTGAAGTTTTATGTATAGAAATATGAGTCTATTAAAATCCATATGATCTCATAGGGTTTTATAAAAGCCTTACGAGCACAGATTGTTTTGTTTTTTGACTTTGTATTCCCAGGGTTCAATTGGGCCTGGCACACATCAGGTGCTTAATAAATGCTTGTTGATTGATGGATGTAAAAAGAAGAAATACATGTACAGAACAGGAAACTAGAACTTCTTTCTCAGACTTTAGGCTGAGGACTGAATCAAAATGCACCCATAAATATACAAAAGGCAAAAGGCCTTTGGTAAGTAGAGAACAACAGTTCTGGGTGCTGTTTTTTATGGAACAGGAATGAGAATATAGAATATAGAATAGACTGCCTTGAGGCATTCTATAAAAAACCTAAAATCAAAGCGAAGACATGTTTTTAATTCGATAGTCCTTACATCGCTGAAGTCAATTTTTTTTTCTATTTTTATGTGATGTTATAATTGTAGTAAAGAACCTGGAGCTATTTTAAATTTGTATCAAATTGACAAGTGACTGAAATATAACAGCTCTGAAAGATGGAAATCTTGTAAAGGCAATGAGGCAGGACAGACAATCATGCAGGTATTACTAGTGAAGTCTGATGAAACCCTCTTTTGGGAGCCAGTGAGATAACTACTTCTTTGATTCCCAGGCACTTTGATAGCAGTTTTTGCCACATTTTCATACCTGTCTGTACATGCTAAAATTAGAACAGAGAAGGCCTTGTTAAAATCCATCAGGCCATTTCTTCTAATCCTTCTGAGGATTTTTGCCTGTGATGTGAACAGACAATTGGTTTTTCATGTTTTATACAGTTTATTCATACTTTTTTTTGTTCTCTCCAACTTTGAAATGACAAAAGCCCATATCTATGGTTTCTCATAACACAGCATCCTACAGGTATTTATATTCTACAAATAATACTATGGAGTTTCTTCTCTTCCCCTCTCCACACAATAAATAATTTTATAGGGTTCATTAACTCATTTACTTCTCACATCCTTTACATCAGCTTTATGTTTACTCTGACAATAGGTCAAAAAAATCAGGAAGGGGAGGGTTGGTATGCTGCTAAGGCATGTAAATAGACACACATATAGAAAAAAAGCAGGACATTTACAAAGAATCTGGACCTTTTAAATTCCTTCATTGTCCGAGTGCTGAAGGACATCTCCTGCACAAATGCTATTACATACTAAGGCATTGCTGTACCCTGTAAATACTTACAATTGGATACGGTGAAATTTACAATAACCATTAACATCTCGCTCTTTTATCACTGAGACAATACTTCAAAACCTTTTATAAAAAGGTAATAATACATAGAGAAAAAAGAACACGGTAAAATTTTATGAAAAACAACCCA